CGGGGCTGAGGACAGCGCCTGGCGCAGGAACAGGCGCAGCCCGGGATGCTCGCGCGCGCCACACCCCCCCTCTCTCCGCCCTTTGCCGCAGGACGGAGCGGGACGCGACCAGCTGGTCAAAAAGCAAACTGGAGCAGCTGCTGGTGGGGATCGTGGTGGGTAATGAGGCGGGCAGCTGTGAAATAAGCGACCTGAAGCAATTGGAAGGCGAAGCCTCCTGCAACAGCCGGAAAGGGAAACTGATTTTCTTCTATGAATGGAACATAAAACTTAGCTGGAAAGGTAAATGACTCTTCTTGGTTCTCTTGTAAAGAGAAATACAACACAAGGTGGAGTGTCATGTGCATCCCCTGTAGGCTGCAACCTCATGGAGGCAGCAACAGCAGCCCTTTTGGATTGTGCAGTGCACTAGGGCAGTGGTTCTCAACCAGGGGTCCAGGACCCCCTGAGCAAGTTTTAGGGGGTCTGCCAAGCAGGGCTGGTAGGAGACTTGCTGGGTCCCAGGGCAGAAAACCAAAGCACCACCGCGTGGGGATGAAGCCCAGGGCCCCAAGCCCTGCCACCCAGGGCTGAAGCTGAAGCCAGAGCAACTTAGGTTCATGGGACCCCCTGTGGGGCCTCAGGGCAGTTGTCCTGCTTGTTACCCCCTAGCGCTTGTCCTGGCATTTATATGCAGAAAAACAGTTATGGAACAAGCAGGCTGTGGAGTTTTTATAGCATCTTGAGGGGAGCGGGGGGAGTTAGAAAGAAAAAGGTTGAGAACCCCTGCATTAGGGCAATAATCTTAATATTTGCGTGTATTTCTCACATTCTTCTCAGCACTTGCTGTCAGTCTCGCTGCTGCTAGCCCAGCTAAAGTGCTATCATTTCTTACAGCTATGATTGAAGGATCATGATCATCATCATATTCCTATTACGCCTCTGGCATTTAGGGCAGTGACGAAGCTCCTCCACTCCTGTCTGTTTCTTGCAAGTCTTTCAAGGGTTCCCCAGCTGTGCCCCAGGTTTTTCAGCTCGGCTTCCACAGCTCTTTGCCATGTTTTTTTCGGGCGGCCTCGTTTTTGTTTCCCTTCAGGTGTCCAGCTTATTGCTACTCTGATGATGGAATCAATTTCCATCCGAAGCACATGCCCAATCCATCTCCACCGCCTCCTGGCAATGATGGTGCTCAGATCCTCTTGGCTGCACTGTGTCAATAGATCTTGGTTTAAGATTGTTCTGGGCCAAAAGATACAGATTGATGATTGAATGATCAGGGCCGGCTCTAGGCACCAGCAAAACAAGCTGGTGCTTGGGGCGGCACATTTTTAGGGGCGGCATGGCTGGTGCCA